AGGCTCTCTGCCTTTCACAGCAGGTCAAAAAAAAATACAGCAATCCTGACAGCCACAGAAACCTTCCAGGGAAGGCACCTAAGATCACTCGAGCTGCACCAACATGCTCACAGCCCAGGGCCATCTGTGTAGGGGAAGTAGACACCTCAGAGCATGAAGAAAGATGGCCTTCAGAAACAAACAAACCAACAACCCAAAAACAGGCCAGAGGTGCTCATACTCAGCTACAGACACTAACTAAATGAATAAATATGTATGTCTGCTTGGTGACACATGCCTGCAATCCCAGAACTCATCAGAAGGCAGAAGGATTATTGCAAATTTAGGCCAGCCTGAGCTACACAGAAAGACTAAAAAGAAAACAAGTTCAGAGAAAAAGCCTGCCTGTGGTCCAGAATGCATCTTCTTTCATTATTCCTATAACGACAGACACAGCACAGCGCAATCGAGAATTTACTATACACCATCTGCACTGCACTAGGTGCTGAAGCAATCTAGAGACACTTGAAAGATGTCATCTGCTCATTCACAAATACGGCACCCTTCTATAGAAGATACGTGACCATCGTCAGACTCCGGTCAAATGGGAAGAAGCTAGGAACCAATGCCCCAGGGATACTGAGGAGGGCTCGTCTGCAGCAGAGATTTATCAGGAAAGAACCGTCTATAACCGTTCCCCCTCTTGGGGGATGGGGGGAATAACTAGGCAAGCATGCCCTGCTGTGCTCCTGTTCTCCAGCCCCAAGGAGCCACGCCCAGGTGCTGACCTTGTAGACGTGCCTCCAGTTCTTGCCGTGGTCATTGAGCCGCTTCCAGATCATGCTCATGATCTCGGAGAAGGCCACAACATTGTAGGTGAGGTCGGCGATCTCTGACATGAGCGAGCTGGATGGGCCCCAGGGGTCGTTGCTTGTGGCTTCCCGGACCTTGATCTCAGCCTCTGAGTAGTTGTGGACGATATTCTTCATCTGACGCCGAAGCGATGAGGTCGACATTTTGCCCGGTGGTGGTGTCAAGGGGCACCAGCCCCCTGGGGCATGGAGAGGTGAGGCGACTCACAGAGGGAGACCGCAGTGGATGCTGGCAGATCACCACATCTGAGGGCACAGAGAATCTTTGGAAACACAAAGGACACATGGGCTACCCAGCACCCAAGCTGTCCCTGAGCCTCCTGCTCCGGGGGTTCCCTAGGACCCTTGCAGGGAAGGCAGGCAGGATGCTAAGTGGCTAAGAGGACTCCCTCCCCTGTTAACCTCTTTCAAAGTTAACCCATCTGCCTTTCAGTTCCTCAAACAAGCCCAGCTTCTTCCTGCCTGGGGCCCAGAGAAGCTGAGGCAGAACACGCAGTGGACGTCACACACCCTGACTCCATACCCCAGTTCGGCTTAACAGGGCAGGCCTCAAACTTTGGACCTTAGTTTTCCCCTGAACAAAATGAAGTTCCCGTGATAAGGGTCCTACTAAACTGAAGGTTTCGATAAAGGCTGGGTGGCTCTCTGCCAGCCTCCCCTAACCCTCCCCATCCTTTCTCGCCAGAGCTCCCTGCCACACATCCCCAGACCCAACCTCAAATATCATTATCACTGTTCCCAAAGGGATTCTTGTGACTTTAAATCTATTTATCTGGTTCTGAAACTATGGTGACCTAAGACCCATAGCGGTGGAAATATTTGTTTGTATATGGCTTTTCCCTACAAAGAAGCTGGGGGGGGGGGGGAGAAGTGAGGAGGGGACAGTCATTAAACATTGTGGGAAGGAAATGGACAGCGGGAAGCAAAGACCTCTAGGACATGAGTCATGACGAAGAGGCCAGTGATGGGATTAAAGAAATGGCAGGGCGCCAGAGGAGGTGTCCCCGGCACTAGATGTCCCCAAGGGCAGGGAGGGAAGCTCAAAGCTTACGGGAGGAGAGATAAGGAATGTAGGAGTCCCCAGCAATGAGGACCAGCTGTGCCATGAGGCACATATTATCTCATTTAATGCTGAACGAAGACAATGGCCTCATGAAAGTTAAATAACTCAGCCACGGTTAGATAGTAAATGCCAAACAAACCCGTTTTACCTCTATAAATTCATACTTTGGGGGGTAGGGGTTGGCACAGCATCTTTCTACATAGCCCTGGCTGTCCTGGAACTCTACTTGTACACCAGGCTGGTCTGGAATTCACAGAGATCTGCCTCCCCCGCCCCCAGCATGGCGGCATTAAAGGCGTGTGCCATTAAAGCTTTTAAATTAACCTAAATAAATTAACCTGTGCTGTGCCCAGCTGATGAGGAAAAGTATCAAGGGTCAGGAACTAAGCAAATGAGGGTAGGTACTAACAAGCCCTTCCACACCCCTTACATCCTGCTAGGCACCCATTAAGTATTTCACCCTGTCCTTACAAATCTGTGACTCTCAGCCACTTCACATTATAGGAGGGGACATGAGCTCATTAAGGTCCTGCCCAGGGACACACACCTCACAATTGGAGCAGCCTGGGTCCAGAGGAGTAGGCTCCGATTACCAGTCTATGCCTCTCCAACAAGCCATGGAGGGAGAGTTACTGAGCCCTACCATGATCCAACCTGAAGGAAGACATAGGTGAACGGGAGAGGCTGCTCTCGACCCTGAACTCGGCCAGAGAACGGAGCACCTGCAAATACACATAACTAGGCGGGGAAGGAAAAAAAAAAAAAAAAAGGGCTAGGTCCCAAGACAGCCCCAGCCCCCAGACAGGCCCAATGAGACATGAAAGATCGTGACAAGAAAAAGGCACACGAAAACTCGGGCAAAAGGAAAGCAACAGTAAGTAAGGCAGGTGGACAGAAAAACAGACACCCTGAAACAAAACACACAACACACGGGTTTCCAGACTGACAGTAAATAAATAAATGGATAAATAAGCAAGCGCCCAGAGGCTGGCTGACTAAATAATAAATAAATAAATAAATAAATAAATAAATAAATAAATAAATAGATTCCCAGCGTATAATTAGGGAGGGATGCTACCTGGAAGGCTTGCTGGTTAAATAAGATGGGTATATAAAGGGCTTGGTTCTGTGCCCCACAGATAGATAGTAGGCGCTGGGTACCCCAGCCTGCTATTATCAGAGAAAACCATTTCCAAAGGAGTGGCATCTGAAGACGCGCTATCCTAACACCAAGCATGTTCAGAAAAGCATACTAGATCTCACAGGTGCTGCTGAGAAAAATGTCTAAATTTAATTTATTTAAAAACGTCTATTAAACAGTGTCAACAAGACAGCGAAATTCTCTCAAGGGAAACTCAAATAACTGGTCTCAGACACTACGCGAAACAAAAATCTCTAACAATAATAATAACCAGGGCTCCTAGTAATCACACACTTAACCGACGGCCGGACACTATTAGGCACTTTTGCAAGCACCGCCTCAATCAATGCGCAGAGACCCTGTGGTGCCAGGAACTGGGAACGCTTGCGAGGCAAGCGAGAGGGGTCTGGATTGCACAGCCAGGGCTCCTACTCACACCACCAAAGGCTCAGAAACCGGAGAGAAGGGAGCGCATCCTCAACCAAAGCAAAAGGTTTCTGGCAGAGAACTTAGGGCCTGGGGACGACAGCAACGGTGACAAAAACGAGACGTGAAGACCGGGAGAGAACCATGCACCAGAGGGAGACAGGTCTGGGGAAATGAAGGCACAGAAACCCAGAAAAGACAAGGACGGTGTCCTGACAGGAGCACGAAGCCCCGATCCAGGACACAAGTACACGGCACTCGGATCTCCAAACCCTTTTGTACAAACACCAAAACACAGACACAGGGCAACACAAGCAACAGGGCCGCGCGAGATGGGGACACTGACAGTCCCAGAAGAGACACACACCGGCAGGCAAACCCGGCCCGGGCACAGCGGTAAAAATGCAGCCCCCAGCCACCAGCGGCTGGGACACCGGCTCCGAGGCTGGCTGGACCCGCGCGTGCCACGGCCCAGGCCGGGACACCGGACTCGCCGCGACGGGGGCCGGCATTGCGCCCTCTCTCACCTCGGCCCGCTCACACCGGGATCCCGGGGGTCATGACGGTCAGCCCCCTGCCCCCGCTCGGCCTGGGTGTCGCGGGGCGCGCGCCGGGCTGCGGGAGGCAGAGGTGCGCACGGGCGCACGCACAGACGCACGGACGCACGGACGGCCGCACGGCGACGGCCCCGCCGCCCCGGCGCCCGGGAGGGGCGCGGAGAGCCGGGCGGGGGGAGGGGAGCCGCCGAGCGGACGGGAAGCAACCGAAGGTGGCGGTGGACCGGAAGCGGAAGTGACCCCGCGCACCCAGCCCTGTGCACCTCGCCCGGCAGCCTCTACTTCCGCGACCAAACCCGCCCTGGCATCACTTCCGGCGCACGGGACTGCGTCCGCATACCCTTGCGTCACTTCCGCATCAACACATTCGGCCGTGGCGGCGGGAAGCACCCGAGCCCTCCAGGGTGGGAGCGCCAGGCGCCCTCGGGCCGCCGCCCTCCTTGGTGCCGCCCCCCACACCCACGACCGAAAGAGAAGGGCGACACTGGACACAGAAGGGGCTCCACAAGGTAAAATACAACAAAATGTTTAATGAGCAAATTTGTCTTAGCAAATATGAAACTGCCACAGAGGGGCATCGGGACGGAGACGCGGGTTGCTGGTCAGGGAAGACTAAAGAACCAACTACTTAAGAAACCAGGGTGGAGAACGGGGGCCAGAAGCCAGAGGACGGGAGCTGTGGTCCTGCAAGGGAGAAGGCAGGGCACTGAGGGCCAGACAACAAAATTCAAAATAGTTTGGCCATAAAATATAAACACGCTATGTTCCTACCGAGGGGAAGGGAGGGAGAAAGGGAGTACGGGGTAAGAAGAGGCTGTTTGGGACCGGGCCGTGGGGGTCCTACCCGCCCTGCCGTGCACACAGTCCCCATCCCAGCCCCTTCCCTCTGTGTCTGTGTGGTGCATGTGTCTGTGTGGGCCCGTGTGCACTTGCCCAGTCCCCTTCCTGCCCTAGCCCCCCACCCCCCACCCCGTAATTGCTGCCATTCCAGTTGCTGCCGGCTGTCATTCGGCTGTCACTCCTCTGCCCATCATCTTCAGAGAGGGGAGAAAGGAGGGGGGGACAGGTGGGGAAAAGTCCCCAGCCAGCCCTGCCCCCACCCTCCCCCAGCCACCTCTACCAGAAGTCCCGGCGGTGGTAAGAGTCAGGGTCACAGTACTTTGTGACCACCACTCTGTTGGCGAACTTGCGGCCGGTTAGGCCCTGCATGGCTTTCTGGCAGTCAAACACGGAGGTGAACTCCACAAAGATCTGTAGGAACAAGAAGCACATCTGTGAACAAGGCGGGGCTCCGTAAGTCCAGAATCAGCTCAAGAAATAAGAGGCCACCACACCACAGACTGAAAAGGCCTTTAGGTTCACCCACACATTCTCCAGAACCCAAGATGGCAAAGAGCAGAGACATCACAGGAATAAGTCCCCGAGGACGCGGGGCAAGATTCAGAGGGGCGTTTCACAAGGTGCTCCCCAAGCCACCCTTAACAGCCATGCCTTCCCAGAGGGCGGATAAGGGAAGCTCCGAAATTAGGATTCACGCCCAAACTGAATTAAAGCACTTGAACCTTCATGTATTCACCACCAACTGTGTGCTGTACTGCCTGCTACTGTATCAGGGAGACTGTACAACCACCACCCTACTTCAAAACCCAGCTTGACTTGAAGGAGTTGGGGTGAGGGCATGAGATAAAACTGACAGAAGAAACTGTATGGGTCAAAAGCTTGCTCTACAACTCTGACGTCCGGAGTTCAATCCTTCAACCAATTTTGCAAAGACCTGACTTCACGAAAGTTGTCCCACATTTGCACAAACACAAAAAAAGTGAGTGGAAACAACCAAATTTGGGGTTTGGGCATTACTGAAATAAGACATACTTAAGTAGATTAGACACCAAGAAATTAATTTGCTGTAGTAACAACATTCTTAGGGTTTTTTTTTTTAAACGGGTGTTTTGGTTATCTAGTTACAACAATGGTGCTCAACTAGGGACAGAACATGTCCCCAGGAGATAATGAGCAATGTCTGTTGTCACAAAGGTGTGGCACCTACCTATAGATAGCCAAATCACAAAACACTTATCTATTCCAAAGTGTCAATAATTGAGAAGCCAGCTAAGTTTCTAAGATAAACTGAGACGTGCCACAAGCACTGTATACACCAGGCTTGAGTGCACACACCTGCAGCCCCAGCACCAGGGAGGCAGGGCCGAGGCCAGTCTAGGCTACCCAAGACCCAACCTCAGAGCATAAACAAACCCACTTAGAGCTGGGCAATAAATATTATAAACACCCCTGCATGAGCCTCTTAGGTTTTTTTTTTCCTTTCCTTTTGGAGACAAAGTTTCTCTGTGTAGCCCTGCCCGTCCTGGAACGCACTCTGTAGACCAGGCTGGCCTCAAACTCATGGAGATCCACCTGCCTCTGCCTACCCAGTGCTGGGAGTAAAGGCGTGTGCCGCCACCACCACCCAGCTCCTCTTAGGTAATATGTTTTAAAAACCCATAAATAGAACAAAAATACAGTGGTTATGGTAGTGTATGCTCCTAGTGACAAAAGCCAGCCAGCCTAGGGTAACATAGCAAGACCCTGTCTCATGAAGAAAAAACAAAGGCAGCTGCTCACGAAGCCAGTCTCAATCCCCACTTGAGCCAGGCTCCCTTCCACAAGGTGCCAGACTGAATCAGACCATGAGTGGCATCTCAGATAAAGGAACAGACTTAGGAGGGAGCTTTTTAGCCAAACAGTCTTCTTCCTTTTGACCCCTGCACCGCCACCCCACCCCTGCACACCTCTGCTGCATTCCCATGGTGGACCTGTCCAGCCTCCCCTTATGAATCCCACTTGGGTTTCTTGGAGTTCCCATCTGCCCAGCTAACTGCCCAGCTCAAAGTTAACTGTTGCTCTCTATCCCTCACCTAACACTCTTAGTCTCTTGGGCCTTTCTCCCTCTCCATCTCCACAAATCCATACCAATCACCAAGATATGAACAGTTAAAGACTCAAGCCTCCCAACTCATCCGTTTCTCTCATCCCCTATTATAGCCAACAACATACCACTTATGGACACTGATGGCTTCTGAATGTCACTGGGCATTTTCACAATTCTACAGCTTTAAATTTTATGGGGGATTCAAACAAATACATATCACTAGATGACACCACCTTACAGAACTGCATGCATTATATCCTTGATTAAAACTTGTCAATCCTCCAGCACAGGGCCACATTTTAAAGCAGACCACCATCTATCTTTCTCTCAGGTTAATACAAGAAATCTCATGATCACCTAACTCATGCCGGGACCCTCTCCATACACTTACCAAACTAGATGGAATCACATCAGCCTTCCTCTCTCCTTGATGCCCTGTTCCTCGGGGAAAGGCCCCAAGGCTTGCTTCTTCCTGAGGTTCGTAAGGCCACCCCTCCCCAGTCCTTCCTGCAAAGCTGGCTTCCTCTCACAGACCCTGCTCATGCTGCTCCTTCCCACCAGCCAAGGCCGAACCTCCCGCCTTCCTCACTCCCCACACAACTGCCTACAGCACCAGCACTACAGGAGGGGACAGGGACACAGCAGGCTGCCGCTCCGGCCTGTCGGTGATGACATGTGCCCGTATTCCCAGCGGTTGAGAGGAAGTTTGAGGTCAGCCTTGCCTACACAGCAAGTTCCAGGACAGCCAGCCAAGGTTACACAGAGAAATCCTGCCTCGGGGGTAGAGGGGAAAAGTCCCTGCTTTGAATATACCCCACCATCAACCATACACATACACAACATCAACACACACATACAAATCATGCCTGAGGTATCTGCTTCCTGTCCATCTGACTAGGACAGACTGCCTGGCAGGATAACCTCACCTCACTGAAACTTACTGGTACCTTTCAACTACCACCTACCTACCTAAACCAGAACCTGGGTCACCATATGTGACTTAGGAGTGAAGCACTTGCCTAGCTAGTATATGACAGGTCCTGGACCCCCATCTCCAGTACCAGAAAGAAAGGGTCAGGCAACTCTGATTCCTACCCTTCCTGCTGCTGCCCAGGAAGTACATCGCCCTGGCAAAAGTGTCCCCAGCTGTTTGTGGGTTCACAACCAAATATAGCCGAGTAAGAATGCCACCAACCCTCAGCAGCACCTTCCGCAGTAGACATGCAGAGCCTATCTAAACCTAGCACAATGCAGAGGTGGCAACTCAGGGGCCTCTGAAATCAAGACTGCAGTCATGTGATCCCTAGCTGTATGGCTTGTCACCTCTATGGCACATCACATGAAAAGGCTCAGGAGTCACTGACAGAAGAGCACAGACCAGCATCCAGGAGCACCTCACATAAGACACCTAAGTAGTGGCAAAAGCTACTTCCAAAAGTATCCCAAGTTTTTAACAAAGTTACATTAACATAGAGACCGAATTCTCAGCTACAGGCCTCAAGCTCCCAGAACGTCTTCGCTCTCTGGAGCCCCTACCTCACCCAGAGGGACAGGGGGATGCGGAAGAGTGGTAAGGGTAGTACACAGACAAGGAGAGCACCCTGACCTTTCCACAGCCAGGCACCTCGACGCCGTCCACGGGCCGGGGGATCTCAATGGACTTCACCAGCCCGTATTTGCTGCACTCGTCTCGTACATCCTCTACAATCTCTTCATACTCCTCATCGTCCAACAGCTCCTCAGGCAGCACCATGTTCATGAGGCATAGGACCTCAGTCGGGTGACCGCCCATCTGCACCTGAGAGCTCATCAGGCCTGGGACTTGAAGGGTCACAGGTGTCTGATTGATGGTACTCTGTGGGGTCAGGGAGAATAGACATGTCACAAAATGGCTCAGACTAGCCTCCCTCCATTCAAGCCTGTGCCTCTCACACCCAACTAGGGGGGACCATTCCTCTACTTAAACACTTAATGAACCCAGTGCCCAAATCCCCTCCCGTGAAAACTGGGGCAGAACTTAAGAAAACCTTCCCATCCAACCCTTCCCACCCCCAGGGTCCCTCTAGCCAATGGAAGATGACGTGCCGGGAGGCTCACCAGCGTGGCATTCTTGGCTCCCACACTCGCCCTCTGGACAAGCAGCTTCTTATCCCCTAGCTGCATTCCATTCAGCCCCGCAATGGCCTATGGTCAGAGGGTAAAGGGTGGAAAGGGTGCGAGAAAGGAACAGGTCAGGAGCCGGGGGACCCAGCACTTCCCCCAAAGAACCAGGCATTGGTGAGAAAACAGTAGAAGGCACAGGGCATTTAGTTCGGAAAGAGGCAAAACCAAGGGGAAAAAGGACTAATCCCCCAGAAAGCCTTGTTTCAAGCTAACCACCCCCACCCTATCCTGAGGAGAGGAGACATGGGCTTGGAAACAAAGAAGGGCAAATGGAGCGAGCAGCTAGGCACTCAAGGCTCACCTGATCTGTGACGTTGATGTCCACGTACTCACAGAAGGCATAGCCCTTGGAGAGCCCTGTGGCACTATCCTTGACCAGGTTGAAGGCTTTCAGAGGCCCAAAGGATGTCAACAGCTCCTTCACCTGCAGGAGGCCAACAGTCCATCAGGGTCTGGCCAGGCTGAGGGGGGGGCTAGCAAGGGGGCAAAGGCTTTACCTGGTCATCATTCAGGTAGTTGGGCAGGCCCCCGATGAACAGCTTGTGGGCAGAGTCTGGGACTACAGTGGACACAACTCCTAAAGACAAAATGTGTAAGATCTCAATTCCAGCAGCCATGTCCCAGCATCAGACAGCTGGGAGAGGTGACACACAGGCTTGTCTTTCAGCACCTGGAAGGCTAAGGCAGGAGCCTCAGTCTACAATGAGCCCCTTCACAAGTCCTATCCTACCTAAGATATCGAATACATAAAGGGGGGAGGAAGCCACACTATATACACATTCCACACCATACACCTCCATATTCTGACGAGTACACAAGCATAGAAGAGCAACAACTGAACATGAAAAGTCCCCTAAGCTTTGACAACCAACCAGGAACATCTCATTCAGTTTTTCGGTCCTTTGCCTTCAGGTCCTACATGGGCAGAATGTTTCTGAGGTCACATGACAAGGAGCTGAGAGGCTGCTGCTAAAATCTCAGAACATGGCTCAGGGTTGGCTGCCACTTCAGTGGTGACTAGTAGTCAACTCTGGAAAACTATGTCCAGGGTCCATTAAAGAAGCTTCGCTGTCACTTCATGGTGCTACCAGCTGAGGGAGTTTTGCTTGCTTTCTCTACTCAACTCTGGACCCATGTGGATAACTATTGACCAGACAGTTTTGTGTGGCACCATGCAAATTCTTCAATATTATCACTTACTTAATTCTCATCAGGCCCCAGCGACAATCCAACCTGACTCCTCGGTTCAAAAGTCCCCCTTTTCAGCTTTCCCCCATACTAAGTGCAGCAGCCCATCCTAATCTACAGGAGCATCAGGTAAGGTATTAAATGGACACACCCTAGGACTTCAGCCACTGTGGCCTATCCATCTTCCAGTCTATCATTTGCCCCACTATAACTCTTACATCAATCCAGGCACTTGTAACCACCAGAGCTGTACCCCAGTAGTGGAGTCTTATACAACAACAGACCTAGTTCAAGGGCCACCGTGACAAGCGAAGTCACTGACAGCCAGGCCATATCCAGTGCTGTCATTAGCCACAAACAACTACTTTAAAAATCTACCATCTGGGGCTGGAGAGTCAGCTCAAAGTTAAGAACACTTGTGCTCTTGCAATGGACCCAGGTTCTATTTCCCAGCAACGACATGACTGCTCATAATCATAACTCCCGTTCGGGGAGGGGAGGTCAGACTCTCTCCTGACCTCCTTGGGCACCGGCGTGTAAATGGTACACAGACATATATGCAAGCAAAAGCACTCATACACATAAAATGAAATTTAAAAAAATAATTAAATGTACCCCAGTAGGTTCAAAATTCCCAGCTATAATGCAAAAGGACTAAAGTCCTAAGAACAGGAAAAAGGTGGTGGGCGGCTTCTAAAGTCCAACTCAACATTCAAAGGAGCTCAGCAGGCTTGGCTCTACACCACGCTCTGACAAGAGAGCAGGAAGGCAGGCCATGGCAACACTGGACCCAAGAGCAATCTGGTAATCACTGTGCAGTATCTCAGAGTCAGCCCTAGGCGGTGACCTAGGTGGGTTTCATTCTTTGCTGTCCAGACCTACATAAACAAACACCACACTACACACACAGGGCACAGACACAAGCACTGGGCCTCTAACTAATGCCAGGGACACAAGGTATTAGCAGCAATGGTGACCAAGAGCTTCATCATTTCTGTGGAAATGCATGGAAGAATAGAGAAAAGCCGAGCAGACTCCAGGGCCAACCTGCACATAAATTTTATGAGCATGAACAAAAAAACTAACCACCATTCCTGGCTTTCCTCCTCTGAGAAATGACAATTCCACAGTCATGTCAAACCGATGAACACTCGACAGAGGCAGGTGTTGTGTGGCACATGCTCGTGATCCCAACACTGGAGGTACCAAGTCAAGTCTGGAGACCGGTCTGGGATACACAGCTATACCATACACAAAAATCTCTACGGCCAGATCTGCTGTACTAGAATCCCAACTACACGGGAGGCTGAATGCAGAAAGATCGAAAGTTCAAGGCCTCCCCGGGCAACAGAGACCCTGCCTCAAAATACTAGTGAAAAGGTTGAAAGTATCATCCAATGGCAGACTACTTGCTTAACATGTGCAAAGAAAGGCACCAAGTACAATTCCTAGCACTACAATCACAGTAATAAAAACAGCTAACATAAAAGGCCTGCGTGCCAAAATGTATTTGTAAACACAAGCAAAGGGCCACAACTGACCACCAAGTCATGATTTGCTGACAGGAAGCACCTGCACACTACACAGCAAGACCAGCAGCCCAAACAGTGAATTCGGTAGCAAGAGTTCCTAGAAATAAGATGTTCTACAGCTTCATCTAAGAGGTATACCAAGTCATCAAGCAAGCTGGACCTAGTGGCGCAGGCCTATAATCCCAATTATTCAAACAGCTAGGGGCAGGAAGATCCCAGGCAAACTTAATGTGACCCTATTGTGGTGATTGACATCTTGTTTGTACAAGTAAAACATGTCTCAAGACCAAAGAGCCGAACTTGCCACTACCAAACCATAGAGATCCGGAAGCCAGTCTGTACAGAGAGACAGGAAGTGAGTTGGCTAGGCAGAGAAAGGAATACAGACGGAGAAAACAGGAACTTGGTCTCTTTTCTGCTGGGAAGCTAGAGGGGTAAAGGTGGCTCTGGCTTGTTCCTTCTTCTCTCCGATCTTCAGACATACTTTATTTGTACAAACAAGGTATCACCATGCCCTATCTCAAGGTAAAAACTTAAAGGGAGCCTGGGCTTCAGGTCAGAAAGTGAATGCTCCAAAGTGAATCTTCTTCAAGCAGTACATTGAGGAGCATGTTAGCTTTAGACCTAGGTATATTGAGTGGACAGAGGCACTGACCTCACCAGACCTTACCATGAAAATGTACTTGGTAGTCAGAGCCCTGACCCCAAGTCCTCCACTGCCAGAACTGTTACCCTGCCCTTTGCTGAGCATCAGCCAGAAAGACTCCACATTCCGAAAGCCTCCATCAGCTTCAGACCTGGGCCTCACTCACTTAGCCAGAGCCCCCACCCCACCCCCATCACTACTTCCTGCAGCCCAGCAGAGCAAACAGTCTGCGCATCTCCACTAATACCCCATCTCATCTGCCAAATGCCAGTGCAGCAAACTACAGCCTGCAGGACGAGACACACGCAGAAAGTCTATTGTGACCTGCCAATCAGAGAGGACAGTAATACAACTACAGAACACAGGCCACACAGGTCCACAGACTCCAGTGAGCACTGACAAGGTAGGACCACACACCAGAACCATACTGAGGTCTACTGACAGGCACCTGCAGGTACACACACACACACACCAAGCTCTGAAATTCCAGGGCCCAGGGACCAAGGCAGGAGCAATGACCAGACTGCAAGTCCCACGCCTCCCAACATCTCAGATCACAGCTCACCACTTAGAGGTACAGGACACCTGCCAAGCTGGAACGGTATCCACAGGGCGCAAAGCACACACCCCATCTCCTACGCAACTAACTACAGTTGGACAGTAATCTGGGTTGAGGGAATAGTAAATCCAACCCCCTCCCCAACAAATTCCCACTCACCAGGCACATAAACAGAGGGATTCTCTGACATGCCAGGCAGTGGCTGGTAGTCATGGGGCCTTCGAATCTTCAATGACTGGCCCTGGAAGATGATGCCATCAAAGGCCATGGCCTGGGTCGTCTCATCCACTGAACGGAACTGAGGGGAGAAGAACAACAGTAGGATTAAGGGGTAGGCGGGACTAGACTAGACCAGTGCCCGGGACTGAAACTTTCCTCCCAACTGAATAAACCAGTTATCATGTCCAACCTCTGGGCTGGCCAGTGGGAAGATAGCCACGAGACTGCTTTAAAAGCCCACACTCCAGAAAGCACATATCCCGCAAGCACACTCATAGGCTCTGACAGCCACCTTGTTACATGCATTGTTTCCTACTTTGCCTGTAAGGAATGCTGGGAAAGGGACCAACTGCTGAGGAAGGCAGCATGGGGAAGTTAGGGCTGCTGAGTTAGCCTGGCAGCCCAGGCTTTCGGATGCAGTTACATTCAAGCTCAAGTTTCCAACGGGACAAATCTGGGCAAGTGCAGACTGAGAAGGAAGGAACACTCAGAGCCTCAGCAGCCTAGACCACTTCAGCGCCCACTGTGCTTTGTGAGTATGGCTCAAGTTGAAAGCTGGGTCTTTATAGACAACAGAATAACTTTTCAACTGCCTTGAAAGGCGACTTATAAACGTCTGGGGTGAACTGCTTCAGCCTAAGCCCCAAACAGAAACATGGATATTGTGTCCTCTGGAAGATCAGTGTGGATTGGGCCACAATATTCTGCAAAAACCAACAAAGCCATCAGGGACCAAGCCGGCCTCCCAGGCAGGAGAGAACAGAGGGAGGAATAAGGCAGGAAGCGGACTGCAGAGCTCCTACGATACAGCAGCCAGACGGAAGCACTCAGAGTGGGCAGCACACGGCAGCCCCGCTACCCCTTACCCGATCACTGGCAACTCACCTCCAAAAAGGCAAAGTTCTTATCTTGATTTATCTGCACAGCCAGGACTGGGTTGCCAGGGGCCTGAGTCAACCCCCCCAAGCGCATCTGGGCGTTGAAGAAGTCCATCATTGCCTCCTGCAGAGGGAATAGGAGACAGGGGAGGGCGGGGAGGGAGGTGGAGAGAGGAGGGGAAGGGTGAGAGAGGGAGACACAGAGGGGTTTGGGGGTAAGGGGAGAGGAATGAGGGGAGGGAGAAGGGGGAGGGAAAGGGACAGTGGATATGGGTCAGGGGTTAGAGGTCAATAGTAGGAACAAATGCAGGAGGAAATGAGAAAAAGAGGAAGCAACACCAAAAGACAGGAGACAGGACAGATGTGAGGGAGAGCCATGGAGCCCCAAATTAGGAGAGTTGTTCAAGAAAAGATGAAGACATGACAAGACAGGAAAACATGAAGATGGTACAAGGGAGAAACACCCAGTGCAGACAAGGCAAGGGAAGGCAGGAGAGCAACAGGCAGGGAGAGAAAGACAAGCAAAGGGACAGGAAGGGAGCCCAGAGAGGGGCAGAGCAAGGAGCACAGAGGCAGGGAGGGTGGAGAGCAGGGGAGGACGGGGTGGGACGGGAGGGGAGGAGAAAAGAGTGATGTGGAGGGATCTGGCCCTGGAGTCCGGGGGCTGGTTTATCAAATGTAGCAAAGTGCAGGTTGAGAAAGTCAGAATGGACCTTACTTGCCTTCGACGATGGTAGCAAACTTTTTGTTGCTACGAGGGATCTCAGCCCCACAATATTTCACTTTAAAGAGAAATGGAAACAACTCTTTGATCTCGGGATTCTCAGGGGTGCCACGGGAAGGGGTGGGGGAAAGGGATGGGGAGAGGAGCGATGGGGAAGGTGGGGGAGGTCAGGGCTATCAAAAATAAAAGAACAGCGACCATGGGAGGGATGTGGGGGAAAAGGATGTGGATAGACGGCAGAAAAGGAGAGCATGTCAGAAAAACTGCAGGGACGTGCGTCTGTGTGTCTGTGTGTTGAGTCTCCCTCTCTGTCTCTCTCCAACACGTAGGTACAATATGTAGGTAAGTACATTATGTGTGTGTTTGATCCCTGGGTTGCTGGAGGAGGTTGGGGAAAGGGAGACGGGAGAGGGGAAGAGGAGGGAGGGAGGGGCCACCCCCAGCCCGGCCCCTGGCTGGCTCAACTCCATCCGTCCGTCTGGGAGGGGGCCGGGGGGTCTTGCAGGAACAGAGTCTGACCCGTGCAGGTTGGGGAAAGGGAATGGAGGGAAGGGAGGAACAGGGTGGGGGAACAGGGGAGAGGGTAGGGGCAGGAGGAGGGCAGTACCTCAGTGATGCCAAAAGGGATATTGCCCACGTAGAGACGTCTGGCCTGTCTGGTCATCTGGCTCCCAACCACAGGCACCGGCGTTGGGGTCACAGCCAGACCATCAGGGGTCATGGTGGGGAGAAGGGCAGTGGCTGGGATCTGACCCGCAGCTTCAAGATGGGAGTAAACAGAGCAAATCCCATTAGAGCAACCCTAAAACCAGGGTCACTAAGCACATAGTAACCCCGCCTACCCACCCTCTAGCCCATTTCATTTAGAGGCTCTTTAATCAGCCAAGTCACCTCAACAGCAGGGCCCTAAGCCTGGTTTTCCAGGAGCCCAATGTGGAAGACTTAAATTCCCTCTTCCAGCAAGGCTACTCTGGACAGGGGCCATAAGTCCTCAGGTGAGAGTCTCAGCCTTACCAAGCATGCGCGCGCGCGCGCGCACACACACACACACACACACACACACACACACACACACACACACACACAAGGTAATGGAAGAGATCTCCCAATTTTAACCTCTACAACAGCTCATAGTGGGCTGGGGTTTCCTACCTTGCATGGCCTTGTACTGCATTGGGGTGATGTGCTCAAAGCCAGGTGGTGGCACGTCCCAGTATTTACGCACCTTCTTCTTCTTCTCATGGCGGGGGGAACGACTGGGGAGGGGGAAGGGAAAGTGGGGCAGGGCAACCTCAGTCTGACCAGCACTGGGCCTGGGAGACCCTGCCAGGGCACCTCCCAGCCCTCCACACCCTCCCAACGTAAGCGCCACTCTCCAGGAGGGAGAGCTGGGCCTGGGCCTGGGGAAGGACATTGGCAGATGAGACTCTTCCCCAGAGCTCGGGCCAGGGTAGGGATGCAAGGCAGGCAAGATGCAGGGGTGAGGAAGAAAAGGGAGTGGACACGGGGCACAAGGGGCAGGAAGAGAAGCTCACATCAATCCACCGTGCTCCTCTTTAGCGCCTCTGGTCAAAGGTTTGCTGGGGGATGGGAGGGAAAGGGATGGGGAGGAATGACTGGGGACCTTCGTTTTCCCCAAACAATACACCCCGCCCAAGGTCACTGAATCCCAGGACCGCAGGCACCCTCGGCCCTGCCAACCACCCCCAACCCTAGTCCTCCCAGGACAGAGGGAGAAGGCACAGAAGAGGTATGGAAGAAGACTCTTCAGACACCCCAAACTTCCTTACCTAGGAGGAACAAAGAAAATGAGGAGAACCTAGGAAAGGGAGATGCTGAATAACTACACCAACAGCCCTGAGCTGGAATTTAAAGCCCAGGTTTCAGATACTGCCCTACTCTAGAACTAACTCCTAGGACCGTTGCTCTCCAACACTGCCCCCAAACAGAGCCAGAGAGCAACTAGGTCCTCAGGCCTTGCCCTTAGAAAGAAAAACAAAAATCACATAACTCATTCCCTGTCCCCAGGAACTATTGTCCTCAGCAACCCACTGGCACTGCCAAATCAGAAACTCACAGAAACAGGGAGTTCAAAGCGGACCACGCAGTACCCAGACAGCCACACAGACCCAGACAGGGTGCCCAGCCAGAGGTCCCAGAGCTCTAGTACCTTCGCCTTCTCCTGTCCCGAGAGGCACTGCGCTGGTCACGGTTACGCCGATCTCGACTTCGGCTCCTACGTTTACGGTCCCGGCTTCGAGAGCGGCTGTGGCTACGCTTCCGGTGCCGGTTCTCCTTGTCCCGTTCTGGACAAGTGTGAGAAGAGTTGGCGTGAATGGAGAGAAAGTACAGGCCCAGCCCACCCTGCGTGCTGGTGGCTATGCCAAGACCCAGGGAGGCCACCACCCCCGGGAAGGGATTTAATGGGGGAGAGGGGGAAACAATAGGCTTCCTGGGTCCACACCGAGTCCCCACGGACTCTGAAGGGACCAAAGGGACAGGGCCTGGAAATGCCCCCGGGGTGTAAGATACCTGAAGATGCTCAAGAGGAGCTGAGGAGCCAGAGAAGACAGAGGAGGCTGGCTCCTGGTCCCCCTCGAGGGCTGAGGGGCCTGACCCCAGGGTCGTCCCTGAGAGGGGCAGGGCTAGAGGCTGGGGAATCAAGAGACCCAATGATGTTTTCCTGAAGAAACTCAGCAGCCCCTCAGGAAAAACCTCTGCAACCAGCTGGCACCCACTGTCCCACCATCAGGCTCAAGTGTCAGGTGCCAGCAGGGTCTAGTAACCCTACGAAGTGAGGAAACTCAACTCCATCCCTTCCCGACCAGGTGAATAATGCAAGAGCAAGCACCCTCTGAAAGGGAGGGCGAGGGCTTCTTTCTGAATGTACAGAAAGTAAGGAAAAGATGCCTCTCCAGTAATTCAGCTGGTGGCCCAGAGCACCTTCATCCAAACTTGAAGCCCAAACCACCAGACCCTCCTCCCTGCCTCATTCCCTAGAAGCTAAAGGTAGAGTGGGCTAGACAGAATAAGGACTTGTGTCTTCACTTTTATCTATTCTGCTTCCTTAGCTTCTTTGCCTCAGAGACCAACAGAACACAGCCTTCCAAGAAAGCTACAGAACCTTAGAGGGCAAAGGATCTCTGTGGCTTCGGGAGACTAGCCTGGTCAACATAGTGAGTTCCAGCCCTGCTGGACCTACATAGTCAGGCTCTAATTTAAACAAAACACAACTATATAACCCCAATTTTGAAGAGTGGTCCTTCAAGGTAGAAGGTAAACCAGGATCACCTCAATGTATTTCCTTTGTTCCAAGGTCCCACTGATTTCTCAACCATGAAGACCGACACTTGCACTCACACACAAAGGCAAAGAGAGCCAGGAGTAATAAGGCACAATTACATTCCCAGCACGTGCAAGGCTGACACAGGAAGACAAAAAGAATTGGAGGCTAGGAAGTTAAGAGACCCTGTCTCAAAAACATACTTGAAAACGGTAATAGGTGTCTCCTAAAAGGTAAGACTAATAGCAGGGAAAAGCAATGAAAAATATAATCTCAAAGTAGATTTTAAACTCACCAGACATTCGTATTATGTATTTTTCTGATACAGTTAAGTAGGGAAATTTGAAATCTATTTTAGCTCCACAGCTAATACTGAGGAAAGTACCCAGGAAAAAAAAGTATAACCAATCTTGAAATCCCTCTATCAGAAAACCTTCACTTGCATCTAATTATCACTGTTGCTTTGGCAAAACTTTGTCAGAAGCTCATACAGCAGATAAGGAAACTGAGGCATGAGGTAAACATGACTTGCTCAAAGCCCAACAGCTTGGAAACAAAGAAGCTCAAACTCAAAATTGTGATACATCAAGCAAGTTAGGCCATCAGGCTACTCTCGAAAATCAGGCAGAACATTCACCCCAGAGTCTGGATACAACTCTAGTGTTATTTGCATTCACATCTGCAAAGAATAAAACAACCAAAAATTAGACAGAGGCAAACAATATGGAATATTGGGACAGACAGTTATGCAGCTCCGACTCCACACCTGAAGCAGGTAACTTATAAACCCAAATGTTATTTCCTATTGCTAAGCCTCAAACACAAGCAACAACTCCAGAGAGGAGACGTCAACAACACCTAGTGCCTCGGACACTACAGGAAAGCTCCCTGTAGAGTCAGGGCACTGAAAGGCTGAAGCTGAGAAACACAAGAGCCTGGGGCAGAGACAAGTATCTATGGGCAAAGTGACAATGTGGCAGAACTTTCTCTCAGCAAGGCAAGGACACTGAACAGTTGGGAAAATGCTATCCTAGTTAGTTGTCTTGTATACATAGCTCCCCCAACCAACCCTTAAGTTGGGGGTCTCAGGCCGTTTCCAATGGCAGGGGAAGCAGCTCCACCTGGGAGTACGGTGGAACTGGCTTTGCAGTCAGAGCTCTACAGAAAAGTAAAGCCCCAGCTTTAACATCCAGTTTCCTCTTCTTTGAATGAAGGTCTCATCTACACCACTCTGGCCTCATGAGGTCTTACAGGAGTAACATTTGGTATACACTTTCTGTAAATCCAACACCAGGTTTACCTGAGCCAAAGACCACCTGGAACTCACACTGAGGACTTGGTGTAATCCAAGCCACATACTATATATACACGTATCACTCCTTTTACTGGCAGCCCCAGCTTTCAACCAATGTCTGGAGCTTTTTAAAATAAAAATAAAACGTTATGAGCCTCTAGTTTCCTGCTCAATCGACAAGAAATTATTTTGTCCTCATTAAGTCTGTTACAAATGACTCACTAAAAAGTAACTAAACCTGGCCGGGCACAGGTGGCACACACCTTTAATGCCAGCACCAGGGAGGCAAAGGCAGGCAGATCTCTGTGAATTCAAGTCAGGCTGGTCTACCCAAAGTTCAAGGACAGCCAGGACTTCACAGAGAAACCCTGTCTCAGAAAAAGAAAAAGAAAGTTTGTTATTAGCAAATTACCTTGCCTTGACACATGGTAAGCCCAGAGTTTAATCACAACCATAGTTAAAATGTACTCATTACTAATCTCGAAAGCCCTGTAACCATACAGTGACATACAGATACAAAGGTACTAGAGCATCATGCCTAGTACACATAATGCAACTCCTAAGCATTGCACTACTCAAAGAAAACACACCAATGGCCAGAAAATGTCTCATGCAGCCCTCGAACTCCAACCAGGAACACAAGACAGCTTCCACCCCAATCCTCAAGAAACTTAAGCTCTTTTTTCAGTCTCAAACCAAAAAGGGGGGGGGAGGTTGTAGGGATGTACTAAAGTCATCAGCACCGACATAGTCCCCGCTTTTCTTCCTGATCCAAACTCATGGTGCAGAATTCTACCTTGGGTCACCCGCCTTAATGCCAATCGGGCCAGATCCCTCTTTCCAAATTGTCTATTTTATCCCCCACGGTGAGACGAGGTCTAAGACCCGAGTTTGGAATGATACAGAACTTGGGGTCTGCCTAGAAACAGGGATATGGAAGACATAGAAGTCGCCGGCCGCCAAAAACCACGAAACACATGATTTATGCGTATAAGGACACAAAGACTGCAGAACCCCCCCCCCCGCGCTTTGGCGGGCAGACAGGTGTCGGACACATTTATGTCTGAGCCTCCGTGCGGCGGCTGGGACGGAACCCTGGCGCGAGAGTTCTGGAGCAATGTGAACAGGCTCGAAACGTGCAAGCACCGGGATGCTGCGGCGCCAGTCCACGTGAAGGAAGGGGGGGAGAAGATGCCTCACCACCGCCATTTTGGAAACAAAGGGGGCGTGGAGAAGGGAAAAGTACGCCCGACCGGAAGCGGAAGTGCCAAGACTGCAAGGGGGGGGAAGGACTGGATTAAGAGACCTAAATTCATCTTCCTCGAACAAAAGTGAAGAATTTAAAAACCAAAAAGAAAAGGAGAAGAAAAAAGTAATGAGCCTCACGTAGAAGGATGAGGCGCGCTCTCTACGCGCCAACGCGACGCAGCGCGCCGCCTCCGCCGGGACCACGTGGGCGCGGGGGGGGGACCGCCGCGCGCACGCGCCCTGAGCCTCGCCCGCGGCCCCCTCCCTCGGCCCGAAAAGGTCACGTGAGCAAGGCGCGCGGCGCGGACGGAGTCCGTGGGGGGGGGGGAAGAGAAATCATGCGGCCCCGGGGAGGGGAACAAGAGACGGGGAGGAAATAGCGGGGGCACGGAGCGAAGCAAGAAGCCACCCCACAGCCCCGGCGCCCTCACCTTGTTTGTTCTCGTTGAGCTGCCGCTCGAACTCGTCGAAGTCAGACATGCTTAAGCGGCCGCGTAGGGCCCTGTGCAGCTCTCGCCTCGCCTTGCCGCCCGCCCGCTCAGGCTACTTCCGCCGCTGGCTTCGGCTACTTCCGGCCCCCGCCGGCACTCCGCCGCCTACCTAGCAGAGCCCCGCCCCGGCCCGCCCAGACTCCACCCCCTCGCCCCGCCCTCCCCGCCCCCCGCCGAACTGCCCCGAGCCCGGCTCCGAAGCCGGTCGGCTTTTCTCGGGCCGGCCCGTAGGCCGGCGAGTCCGCAGGCGGCGGCGGCGGCGGCCCTCGGAATCGCCCGACGCCAGGGGGGTTTGTTTGCAGGCTGCCCAAGTTTCCGTAACTTTTCCGAGACTAGCGTCTCAACGTTCGGAGGATTCCGGAGGACCTCGCGTTCCCCTACGCCGGACCCTTGTTAAAAAAAAGAAAAAGAAAAAAAAAGGTTCGGGTTTCCCTACAACTCAAACCGTGTCAGTGTCTGGCTTCCTCTGGAGACTCGCCCCACCCCGCGCTGGCCCTGTCCAAGCAGGCAGCCGGTCACGTCCAACAATCCTAACCGTCCAGACCTTCCTTCGGCTCTTTCCGAAGGTTTCCAGCGCTCGCTCACGGCCCCTCAGGAGATCAAGCCCGATTCTGATCTTCGGCTCTTTCCGGAGGTTCCACCGGGTCACTCCGCCCCTTCCGGAGGACTCCGTCCCCCTCCGCCACTGCTTCGGGGAGGCCTCTCGAGCAAGGGGAAAGCTTCGGCTTTTTCCGCCGTGGCTTCGGCTCCTCTCGGCTCCGAGAACCGAAAAGGTGGGTCGGGGAGCTTCAGAGCAGGGGGCGGGGCCTCACTTGGGCACCTGGCTCTCTGGGTGAGAACCGGGGGAAAGGCCGGCCTCGCGCGGGGCGATCGCAGCCAGTGGGGCGTGGGCGCTCGAGGCCTCTGCGGAGGTTTTAGCGCGGCTTGGGGCGCGTGAGCACGGTCATCAAGGCGGCGGCGACAGGGGTTTCTGCGCCTGCGTAGCAGCCAGCCGGAGGCACGTTTTCCCAGCGCTCGGGAGGATCCGCCATTCTAAATCCACATTGCGCGTGCGCGCTGTCTTCCCCCCCCCCACCACCACCACCACCACCACCCCTCTCCGTAGGTAGTAACTCTGGGACCGTTAAACTAGACTGCGCTCTTCCGGTTGCCTTGGCAATCGCGTTAACTCGCCCACCCCTCCCCGATCCGACCGCGCAAGCGCGGGACGTGCCACCTTCGGGACTGCAATCCCCTGCTCCCGGCACCAGGCAGGCTCAGCTAAAGGTCATCGAGTCAATGCCCCAGCCGCCGCGCTTTAGAGTCAGCTGCCCTCCTCCTGGTTTCTCTGGGGAGAGGCTGCTGCTCCCCCTTCCCACTTCTGCCTCCTGGGGGATAATTACACCCTGTCCTCCCCAACCTCTCCAGAGGCTGCAGCCTGAGTGCACCGGTCTCCGTGGTGACGGCCACCCTCCTCCCCCCGGCCCATCCCCTTCCTAGGAAGATCTGGGGCCCGATTTATTGAAAATGTTCGTGTCTCTTTAATTTAAATTCTCTGAATAATGCTCTGTCTTCGTGAAAGATTGCAGATGGGCTACTCCTGGCTAGGGAGACGGAGCGGGCCGCCCTTGCTGAGTGCAATGGAGATGGCGTGCCCAGCGTGGGCGACCGAGGGGCAGGGCCCAGTGCTCAGGAAGGGAAGCTTCTGGCCCCGGCGGTGCCCCGGGGAGCCCGGCCTAGCGAGCGGTCTGCGGGGCGGGGAGAGGCAGGGAGGCAGGCGTGCGGGGCGGCAGCATCACCGCTTGAAGCGGTAGGTGATGGGCAGGAGCAGCTTGCTCTTTTTGAGAGCCTGCACCTTCTTGAGAGTCTCGTCGTCTAGCGCCAGGAAGCAGCGTCGGGAATACTCCAGCAGGCGCTCTTTGGACGGGTCGAACTCTCCCACCTCGGCCAGCTTTTCCGGAGCCACGATGAGCAGCTCCGCGATGGGCGTGGTCAGCGCAACCGTGTTCCTGTCCACACGGTGGTGCTCAAAGGCTCGAGACATGCTCTTCAGCTTCTGGAAGGTGCCCAGGATCTTCTTGTAGCGGCAGAGGACCCCATCAGCGTCCTTCACTGCAGGGCCAAAGGGGCAGAAGAGGAGAACGAGGAAAGACGGCCATGTGGGGCCAGAGACATGGGGGGGGGGGGGGCAGGTAGAGAAACAGGAGGGCAGGCATGAGGAGGAAAGATGGGGTGAAAGGCATACAAGTTAGGGGTGTGAAGGAATCAGTTGAGCCCCGGACAGGAAGAGAAGGGAGGACAACGTGAAAAACAGGAGAGACCAGAGCAAGACATGGGGAATTGAAGAAGGCAGGCAGGGGCGCCAGAGGAAAGGAGAGGCTGCGCATGTGCCCACCTATTACATGTGACCAGAGGCCTCCTTTCTGATGAGGGGACAGGACTGACTCTGCTGGTTGGTGTAGACCGAAATTTAAAATTAGCTCGGAGCCATACAGAAGGACTGGGGGTTCGATTCTGGGTAGACACCCTCAACACACCACCACATGCACCCACTCACCCCGCTGTCTCTCTCGAGCCTTGGGCTTCCCGAATCGCCTCCGGCCAGCGCTTGCCTTCTGCTTCTGCCTCCTGTCACTGGCACTGCCCTCTTCGGATGCCCCGCTGAGGGAGGAGGCTGCAGACTCGGGGTCTGAGGCTTCTCCCCCAAGCCCAGCCCGGCTATCCCCATCAACCCTCCGTGGCCCAGGCTTCATCCGGCAGTGATCCTCTAAGGAGAGACAAAAAGGAACCGTGAGGGAACGGACCTGAAGGAGGCCAGGCCCTCGGGATGAGGACAGGGTGAAGCTCCCAAGGATGAATGGCATAGAGCTAGCTGGGATCCAGGGAGCTCACGGGGATCTGTGTCTGTAGGGGAGACAGACATCCCAGGGGCTTCCAGAGAGTAGAGTCAAAATCCAAGAGGCAGACAAGGCCTCTGGGTGAAAGGGTTGGATATCAGAATTCAGTTTGGATACTGGGGAAAGCTAACTACCTTTACCTGGCCAGGGAGCCAACTGAGGCTCCACTCAGATCTTCCAAAGGACCAACTCCTGAGGATAACTGAAGTCAGGAGGAATCTATGCGTCCGCCACACCAGGGAAAGTGGACTCACCCAGGATAGGGCTCTTCCTACATGGTGCCCATCCTAATGCTGGGGCTTTTGACATCACCGGCTAGAAAGCCTGCCAGCAGCTCGGTTGGATATAGAGGGTGGGGTTATGGCCTGAAATAAAGATCAAGTTCTCCAAGACCTGAGCTAAAGATGTAGGGAAGGGCAGCCTAGGCTGGGGAATGAGGCAGGAATAGCAGACAACACCAGATGAATAAGGAAACAGGACCCTGCCTACAGAAGAGGTGACACCACCACGCTGTGAGTCATAAATTGAAACAAAGCAGAGTGGTGGAATGTGCCCATGGCCCTGCAGCAGAGTCTGGGGACAACAGGCTCTGAGATCCCACAGTCTTGGAAGAATAAAAAACACTAGTTAGTCGGGATATATACAACAGGGTGGTGGGAAAACAGGCCCCTGATTGCAGTTCCAGGGCTGCTCGGGTGGATGGATAGATGGATGGATGGACGGACAGACAGACGGACAGATGGTTCAGGGCACCTCTGATGAGTCCAACAGACTGCAGAGGTCTACTGGCAAGGAGACAAAGAATGTTTCCCCTAAGATGAGGAACCTGGGTTAGAAATCCAGACTCAGGGAGACAGCTGCATCAAGTGCCTGAGGCTGACGGGTGGCGGAGCAGTCTGTGACAGGGGAGGAAGTGACACAAATAGGGGATGGCTGGGGAAGTCCCTAAAGGCGGCATGGTCCTCAGTGGGAGCGTAAAACTGTAGGCCCCCATCGGGCCGACCCAACAGTGGGTTTCGGGTTCTGTGGGTCCTGGGGGAACTCTGTGCCCCCACCTGCATCCATCCGGGCTGAGGAAATGAACTTGTCCAGCTGACACCGCAAAAAGTCCCTCTCCTCTTCCAGGTCCTCAATGCGCTTCTGCAGCCATGAGTTCCTCTCCAGGGCCATGTGCAGCTGGGCCTTGACGCTGTTCATCAGGGCCAGGGTTGGGGAGGCGGCCTCTGGGGGCTCTAAGAACAGCAGGGGCGGTCATGTCCCCCGGGACGAGGCAGTGCCCCACCTGACAATGGCCCTCCTCTCCCTTCCTCAGCTCACCCTCAAAATCTCTCCTTGAGGGGCTCAGACTGTAGAAAAGCTGTGGGTCTAAGTGGGGTGCCTCTTCAAATGGGATGGAGATCTCAAAGGTCTCTTCGTCCTTCACTGGAGAGAGGCCAGTGCAGGTCACCCCAGAAGCGGCCTGGACCTCTCAGACCACCCCCAACCATAACTGCCCCGTGGATATAGGGAACCAGAATGTCAAGGATGGGGAGAGGGTCCCCAAGCGCCTCACTTGTCCGCCTACGGTTGCTTCGGTCATTCATAACTTCCTGCTGTCCCCTGCAGCTGAGCCTTCAGGGGCACTGGACAGAAACGGGTCACCAAATGTAATCAGTTCCTGGAGAGGTGGAGTGCCTGTTCCTCTGGAGTAAGGAGGGATTCACCGGCCTGGAGCCGTGGTCTAAGGGGAAAAAAGAACCACACTCCTGGACAGAGACACTGAGGTTTCCAAATCGTGTATCCGGCGGCGAGGGGGACTCGGCTAGAGGACTCTTGGTAGTGAAGGAGCTCAGCCCTTAGATTCTTTGGCTTCTCATGGGGTCAACACCTCAGGGACACTTTGGCCTGAGTAGGAAGGACCCTCATCACGGACCATCTCCGGACCCAAAGCCATACATGGAAGGGAGAAATCACCCCTAACTTCCACGCATAGGGTGGAGGTCCATCCTGCAAGCTTTCCCCTGTCCCAGCCACCCATTCCTCCTGCACTTGTGCGGGCGAGCAAAGCCCCTCCCTCGAATGGGTGCTGGGCGCGTGCGCAGTGCGGGGGAAGTCACGCGTGGGGATGCTCCCACGCCCTTTGTCCCACAAGTGGGAGGGGGCGGCCGTGGCAAAGGGTCCCAGAAAGGGCACCCGGCATGGAAGACCGTGGGCATCATTCCCCGCCCTTGGGTATTCAGGGTACAAGAGGCCAGGGCCCCGCTCTCACCCACCCGCGCAAGGACTCCAGCCCTGGGACCGACGGTGGTGGCGGCGCCCATGCCCATCGCTAGGGAGCGTCTGCAAAGTGTCGCGGAGAAAAGCGCCCACCCACCAGTAAGCGGGCGCAGAGGCAGAGGAGGGGAAGTCTCAGAATTAGATGGCGGCGGAGCGCACAAAGACGCAGGCCCTGGCGGGCTCCGGCCTGCCAGGCTTGGGGCTCCTCTTGGAGCCCAAGTGAGGCCGCTGTTTGCGCGAAGGTCGGGGCCGCACTTGCGCGATAGCCCCTTGCAACCCACCCACCCACCCCCGTCCTTCCCAAAGCCCAGGCAGGGATCCTCCTGAAAGTCTCATCTTTCACAGCTGACGCGGCTCCGGGGGCGGGGGTGGTCCTCAGGGTGAGTGGCTATGTGCCCAGTGGTCCAAGAAAAGTCAGAAGGTATGGGGCAGCAAGGAAAATTCAAGCAAAACTTGAGTCCCTTTTAATGATCCCTGAGGAGCTGGCTAGTACGCGCACACCTCTGGTCCTATACGCCTCAGCCTGCCATAACCCTCCAACCCCATCCACGAAAAGGCTTAAAGGAATAAGAGAAGCAGATGTGCGAGCGGGTGATTACATCTCCGCAAAGTGTGGGTCAGGAATAGCCAGCCGCTTGTGGAGCCGCCACAATCCCTGCAGCCTTACTCCTGCATAGCCTCGGTCTTCTTACCTGTTAAGTGGGAAGTTACTCTCCAGGGTCTTTGCGAGGATGCTGTGGTGTGACACCCCCAAAGGCTCGGCCCAGAGCGGAACCACTCTTGGGGCTTAAGATTCAAGCGCTGTTGGTATTATTTGAAGTCAGACGGTTGGAGTAGAAGCACAGCCTTAAGACACTCCCACCCGCCCCTCCGCCCCCAAAAGAAGTCGTGTAAAGAGGCTAACTGCTTCTGGCACAAAACAAGCGTGAAAAGGGAGAAGACATGTTTATTAGGTCTGCAGCAAGGTTCTACCTGCCTCTCCGCTTCACAAGCAACGCCCTCTCTGGCGTTTGGAAGCCCGAGTGCAGGCACAGCTTTAACTAACCTTGCAGAGGGAGACTGGACCTGCCAACCAGGAGATGAAGCAGCTCCCCCTCGCGCTTCACTTTTACAAATCTACTGCAGCCTGGGTCAGCACGTCCAGGGGGAGCCACCTGCCCTAGATCAGTGTTTCAAACCGCAGAAAATTGTATGCAGGAAGGTGAACTCTAGATTTAAAAGATATATCAGGGTGTCCTGTGCACGCTAATGGTAACTACCGTTAAAAGTGTTCCGTATACGTTTTGTGTGCATATATATATATATATATATATATATATATATATATACCCATAACATATATGTGTGTGCATATATGCACATATATGTGTATGTATATATGTATGTGAGTGTCTATCAATGTGTATTGTAATTTAAGTGGGAAAAGGGATGACGTTTATACTCGTATTTCCAATGGTGCTGGGAATGTTTCTCCATCGGGTGCCCAGCATGCAATAAAAAAAAACCAAAAACCTGAGTTCCAGTACTCAGGAAGTGGAGGCAAGATCATAAGTTTAATGGTACCCTGGGCTACATTACACCCTTGTCTCAATAAATAAACAAACAAACAAACAAACAAATAAATAAATGGCAGGTTTGGAGGAACCGACGTAGGCCTAACTTCAGAGGACTTTCCCACTCCCCAGCCATGGTCTTTATACCAGGTGGTGTGTAAACCAAGATGTCTCAAAACTTTTAAGAACTAATTGAGAACCCCAATAGGGCTCTACCTCCCGTGTCGAAATAGAGGCGATCTCTGACTGCCCACAAAAACTTCCCAAGCAAGAGTTTTCCCAAACAACATTGTCCTCCACTCCTCCTATTAGGACTCCAGAATAATATCCCAAATGTTCAAGGCGCGGGGCTGTTCTCTTTGAGAGCTCATTCCCATCATAACATTACGATGCACTGACAGCTCAGACTCTTTCGGGCAAGGATTGCTTCGAAAAGGCTGGTCTGGGTTTGTATCCAGGGCCCTGAAAGCCAGCCTGCAACACAGGCCCGTGTCTGAGACTCAGGAGACCCACGATCCCTGGGGTCCCCGGGAGCAGTTCGTGGATGCTACCACCGAGTATGCTTCCGTAATATGTTCTGCTCGGTAAAGCGGGTACTGGAACTGGCGTTAGTTAACCTGAGTGTCCACGGATGTGCTGGGCCAACTCGCCCTCATCCTGGAAGCGTCGAAGGCAGAGCAGCAGCTGTAGGGCTGCACTGCACCTGCCCTGTGAAAGGACAGATGCCACTCAAGGTGGCTGGCCCGCCTGAATGCCTTCCCACAGGGCTCCACTTCCTAATGGGTAATGCTGTGTGGCTGAAGGTAAGGTGCACTCAGAGACTCTAAAGCACACCGGCCAGCTGTAGCTCTTTTTCTGAACAGCAATCCCATTGGCCCTGGCCTCCCTCTGTGACTCCTCATCCACCAGCACTGTGTAGGGGACATCCTGTGTGTCAATGAGGAGATAATGGTTGAGCCTTGGAGGGAAGGAAGTCTGGGGAGATCCTGTGGAGGAAGAAGGCCCAGGTTCCTGGCACCCACCTGTCCGAGAAAGGGGACCTCAACAGAGGGAAGTGTCAGGGTCTCCAGGCAGCGCCAGCATCCACAGATGCAAAACGGGCCAGAGGGGGACAAAACCGGCTCTGCGCTGTCTCTATCAGGTCCCTGGAGTCTCTCTTCTGGGCCCCACGACCCACTGTGCCCATGCAGTCGTCTCCCCTTTATTCGTTGAGACCCTTCCTCTGTGTGCCCTCCTCAGATCACCCAGCATCCATGTGCAGCATCTCTTGGCCCTCAGGACTCTGCCGTTATCCTGACCACTACCTAGTCTAAAAGTGGGTCCATCCCCTATGTCTAGGTTCTCCCATTACACAACCCCCCCCCCCTCCGCGGCCACTCGGATCTCCATCCCTCTCCTTCCCTGGCTGGTACCCAGTGCAGCAGCCTCTCGGGTCCGGGCGGCCAGGGACAGCCCCGAGTTGCACCCACAATTAGAGGAACCGGGGACAACAGCCAACACCCAGCAGTACCGGGCTTGGATCGTAGGGACAGGAAAAGACGAGGGTCCAGGAGGGCTGGTCGCCTGAGCATCAGAAAACAGCTCCGGTTGGAAACGCACTTTGAGCACCAGGTTCGGAACCCAATCTCCCTTCTCCCAACACTCAGCCCACACGCAAGTAAGAGCCTGAGAATGAAGTGTGGAATGTTTATTGGGCCAAGAATGAGGGGTCGTGGGCATTAGAGAGAAGAACAGAGATGACCCAGCCCGCGCTGGTGCTTTTATCGTGTCTTCACAAGGACCTCACCGCTTGTGAAGAGTAGAAAACCAAGACTCGGGAGAGGTCGCACCACTTGCAAAGGCTGAAGCCCAGTTGTCACCGACACCCGGGCCCAGAGGGGCAACAGCTTTGGTCTACATCACACAGCTAGACGGGAGAAAAGACAAAATGACGTTCCTCTTTGGGGGATTGGTGGGAAAACTGAGGCCTAGGGTAAGGCAGTAAGTAACCTCAGCAGAATTGGGGATGGATGGGAGTGGCGCTGTGTGGGTAAGACCCGGTGGCCCGGAGAGGGAAGGGTGGAGCTCAGTGCAGGCGCACGTGCTGCGCCAGCTCCGCGGCGTCCTGGAACCGCCGTGGACAGAGCGGGCAGGTGTGCGGTGGGCCAGCGCGGTGGGTGGCGCGGTGCCGCGACAGGTGGCTGGAGCGCTTAAAGGCTTTACCACAAGCAGCACACGTAAAGGGCTTGAGGTCCGAGTGCGACACGCGGTGGCTCTGCAGCCTTAGAGGGCTGGCAAAGACACGGGCGCACTCTGGGCAACTGTAGCCCTTTCGAGGACCTGGCTCTCCCGGGGTCGCCTCGCGCTGCGGAGGGCCCCGAGGTTCCTCCTCCAGCTGCACCGTGTACGTGTAGGGGACCCCGTTGGCGTCGATGAGCAGGTGGCGACCCAACCGCGGGGGCCGCGGCCCCGCCACCGAGGAAGAAGTGGAGGAGGGCCCTTCCGCCTTGGGAAAAGGAGGAGTCTTGGGGGGCGGTGGGTCCATGACCTCCGGGGAGGAGGACCGAGGGTGGGGTGGCCGCGGCGGCAGCAGCAGCATCTGGAGCAGCAGCTGGGAGCGGCGGAGGGAAGAGAAGTTAAGATCTGTCTCTTCCTTTCAGGGAAAAAAAAAAAAAATTCCTAAAAAGGAAGGTGTCCCCATTCTCCGCCAGACTCTGTGCTACTGACCTATCTCCCCACAAAGTGAAAACTGACTCCAGTCCCCATCTCTAAGACTCCTCCACCGGGGCTTGGCCACGCCCAGCTCCACCCGCTCCACCCGACTCAGGTCAGAACCTCGGACATCCTCCGGATTCCCTCCGCCCATCCCCACCCACCGCAGTCCATCTCCAAGTCCTTTTCTCTCCTTTTAGCTTAGGTCCTCTCTACCCTCACATTCCAGGCCCTGACGGCCTCCGGGATTTTTTCTCCCACCTACCCTTCCCTCTTTCCCAGAGCTCTGCTCAAGCTCTGGCTTAATCCTCTCTCTCGTGGCTCCCAATCCCCTAGGGATGGGGGGGGGGGAGTCTCCATCCCACTCGATGCCCCTCGGGACCTCCCAAATCTCCAGTTGTCGCGGCCTCAAGTTTCCTCCCTAGATACTGGCCCGGAGTCCCAGTAACCCAGTTCCCCACTTTCCACCCAGGGCTCTTTTATGTCAACCCCACACGCTGCACTTAAAGGTCTCGCCATTCTCTTCCCACACCATCGCTACTTCATTTCCACCTGCCTGCCTCCTACATGCGCCCCCATCTTGCTGCGTTTCACTCACCGCCCCCCAGTCCCCCCCGGCCCCCAGCCCCCCACCCCCACCCCCCGCCAGTGTCCTGACATCTCCGCTTCTCTCTCCACCGCCTCCACCACCTTGGCGCCTCCTCCCGCTCGCAGTCACACACCGGACCTCCTGCCTTCTGGTCCCCTCGCCAGCTCCTCCTAACACTGGTCCCTCCTCCCTCTAGATGCGGCCGGCATCTCTTGTCTTTCTTGGCCTCCCGGGTTCTGGGATGCGTGGCCCTCGCCTGGGGCGCCCCTGCACCCTGGTCCCCTGAGCCACCCCGTCCCGCTACACCCCCGGGCCTCCCTACTCCTGCGGCCCCCATCGGAGCCCCCTCTCTCGGGCTCTGGGCGTCGCTCACACCCGGAGCCCCGCCGGCCTCGCGCCCAGCCCAAGCCAAGCTCCTCCCTCCATCCCGGCCCCCGTACCCGGTGCAGCAGCCTCTCGGGTCCGGGGGGGAGAGCGGGGCCGAGGTCCCGGACGGACCCGGGCTTGCCCTGGCGAGCGCCGCGGCAGAAGCAAGCTTCCGGGTAGTTCCGGGCCGGCGGCGCCGGGGACGCGGGTCGGGGGGCGCGGGGGCGCGGGGGGCGACGGTGTGCCTGGGAAAGAACGCCGTTCAGGAACGCACGCTCCACACACGAAGGTTCCGACGCCCGAGTCGGCCCCTCTGGTGGGAGCGCGGTGGGGGGAGGGGCCGGGGGTGCTGGCGCGTGGCCAACGAGAGGGACCTGCACAAGAACAGTTCCCCGTTACGTGGTCCCCATCCTCGGAAAGAGCCGTTCCTTTGCTCTGAATGGCCGGTAAACTGAAGCTAGGTACTGCGAAGTCTCGCAAGCCACCCATAAGGAAGAGTTGGAATGCACGGTTTGCCTCCCCTTTGCGCTCAGGCAGAGCCATCCATGGCAAAGGGTTACAGAATGGGTGTTTCTGTTGGTTGAGCAAATGGACAGACTGAGGTCCAGATGCCAGATAGTTGCTCGGATGTGGCAGGCATGCAATCCTGGCATCTCGTAATTGGAGAAACCAATGCCCAAAGAAGACGTTGCCAGATTAGGTGAGGTAATTATACGCACCACTGAACACATGGGGAAACAGGCTGGAGAAGAGCAGATGTACGGTAAAAAAGGTGCTTTGTGCTAGTCCTTGGCTCCCGAGTGCCAAGATACCTTTCATATGAGCTACAACGCTTACACCAGATATTGACACAGAAAGGAAAATGTGGTATTTCTTGCTGAGCATATGGGGAACATGAAACCTGGAGCTTGCTAGGTATGGAAGTGGGACTAGGGCTGGAGGTATATAGCCCAGTGAGTGAAGTGCTTTCCAAGCGTGCACTCTGGGTTCGATCCTCAGCACAGCGTAAACCGTGTGTAGTAATCCCAGCTCTACGAAAGTGGAACCGGGGGGAATCAGAAGTTCAAGGTTATCCTCAGCAACATAGGGAGTGGGAGGCCAGCCTGGGCTACGTGAAACCCTGTCTCAAAACAAAGGCGAAGAGGCTGAGGTTCTTGCCAGTGATCAGGTGCGGAAAGTAAAGCCCAGAGGATGCAGACACTCCTAGGTACAGACACCGGGAGGTATATACTTCCCATTGAACACACGGGGAAGCTAAGGTTCAGAGAAAGCCAGACTTTGCCATCTATGCAGCCAAGGAAGCTGGTTCTCGGAAATGGAGACCAGTGCTGGCAAAGGCACCGGAGAGTTCTGCCCGGTGTAGTCGGCGCTCTGGGCCCTTCGCAGAGGGTCTAAGCATCTAGTGTGTTCAATCAGCCTGGACCAGTGAGGACGCTGCATGTTTGTAAGACACACTCTGGGACTGCAAAGCAATTAAAGGCGTTTCGAACCCATCTATGCCTAAGTTCTAGATCCAGATACTGGGAGTTGGGAGGGACAGAGAGAGGAGTGTTAACTCCAGCGCCCAGCCAGAGGGCCCCGGGAGGATGGGCAAGCCTCCTTGTAGAGTTATCCACCGTGTTTCTATAATCCCTGTGGTGTAACAACAATGGCTACACGAAGCTATTCAGCGTTGACCTGAAGCGAGTGTTTCTGGGGACCTGAAGTGTAGAAGTTATTCATCCCTTAACTAAGATTTACCCTATGGGACTGCTAGATGAGCTTTCTTTTTTTCTTCTCCTTGAGTCAGACTCTCAAGGAGCCTAGCCTGGCTTCAGATTTGCTACGCATCCTAAGGTAATCTTTAACTTGGGTTTGTTTGTTTTATGTGTGTGTGTGTGTGTCTTACGTGTATGTGTGCTTGGTGTCCTCAAAGGTCAGAAGAGGGCATCAGATCTCCTAGAACTGCAGTTAGGGCGGTTGTTGTCTGGGGCGCATCGTGTATCAAAGGTTGATTGTGGAAAGAAGGCACTCCAATATGAAACTCTAAGGCCCTTGTGGCAGCAGCAAAGTCCTGCCTCTTTGGATGGACCGAACCTGGGAACAATTGTACAAAGGCATATTTATTGATTGTTACACAAAGTGTTTACTCACAACAAGGTCCCTAATCTAATTTACATGTCTTACTGAAGAAGAGTATCACATGCCCCTGTGAAACCATTAGTATGAGTCATTTTCGATACAATGTAATACAAGAACCTGAGGTGACTCGGTGACCAAAGTCATGGAATGGTTGCAATGCCCCTTCAGCAAAACAATCACTGCTTTCAACAGGGTTCTTCAAGGTCAGAATACTTCCAGAAAACATCTGTGCATCCGTTTGTTTGTTTGAGACAGGGTTTGTCTGTATAACAGTCCTGGCTGTCCTGGGACTCACTTTGTAGGACCCACCTGCCCTGCCTCTGCCTCCCCAGTGCTGGGATCAACAGCGTGTGTCTCCACGCCCGGTACCCAACTCTGTATGTGAAGCCGCCATTTTGGCCACTTCTCACCTGGACCCAAATGTCAGCCTTCTCGTAGTACCCCTGCTTCCGGTGGCCTGATAAGATTCCTCAAGCAACTGAATACAATGTTACATCTTCACATCCAAAACCTTGTCAGGAACGGGGCTGTTATGAGCACACCCTGGTCTTCCAAATGTCCTGAATTTGGCACCCAGCACCCACATAGGGTGGCTCACTACCACCTCTGACTCCAACTCCAAGACAACTGGCCTCTGAGGACACATGAACACAGGTGGCATAATTCACACACACACACACACACACACACACACACACACACACACACATATATATATATATTTACATATGCATGCATACACACACATCTTTACATACATACATCTTTGAAAACAAGGGCTGGGCGTTGGTGGCGCACACCTTTAATCCCAGCACTCAGAAGGCAGAAGTAGGTGGATCTCTGTGAGTTAGAGGCCAGCCTGGTCTAGAGAGTGAGTTCTAGGACAGGCTCCAAAGCTACAGAGAAACCCTGTTTTGAAAAAAAAAAAAAAAAAAAAAAAGTTTTCATTGTAGAGTTTGTTCATCTCTTTGGTTAGGTTAACCCAGAGTCTGAGATATGTTTATTTTTTTTTATTTTACAGGTTATTTATTTATTATGTCCATTGATGTTTTGCCATGGGTGTTGGGTCCCCTGGAACTGGAATTACAGACAGTTGTGAGCTGTCATGTGGGTGCTGGGAACTGAGCCTGGACCTTCTGGAAGAGAAAAATCTGTGCTCTTAACCACCATCTCCCCAGCCCCAATATATTCCTTTTTAAAGATATTGTGAATGTAATATTTTTCCTTATTTCTTACTGGTGAGACCCATAGGGCCCTTTGAGCCAGTAAGAAGGGAAAATTTGTCTTCTTTGCTGTTTGTATCCTTTTTTTTTTTTTTTTTTTTTTTTGTCTTTTTGTCACAGGTGTGTTACACTTTCATCCGGCATACAAATAGTTTTATTTATTTATTTTTTTAAGATTTATTTATTTACTGTGTATACAGCGTTCTGCTGCATGTTTGCCTGTAGGCCAGAAGAGGGCACCAGATGTCATCATAGATGATTGTGAGCCACCATGTGGTTGCTGGGAACTGAACTCAGAACCTCTGGAATAACAGCCAGCGCTCTTAACCTCTGAGCCACCTCTCTAGCTCCCCAGGCATACAGATAACTTTCTATCTCCCTGGGCAAATCGCTGAAATTTGGCAGTCTGCCCAGTGTCGTGTCCCCCTTCAGGGACCTGTGGGCTGGTGACATCGGAGCAGAGTGCTGGGGCTCACAGTGCAGCTTGTGGCTCGAGCCCATCTTGCAGGTGGCGCTTCCCCCACATCGCGAGGAGGTCTCAGAGACTACGGGTGGGGTGGGGTGGGGGCGTTCTCCGGTCTAGACTTTGAGGGTATCTCACTCCTCATTTCCTGCCAGCACCTCTTTAGTTGATGGGACCATTCTTCTCCTGCACCTCGGTTTTCTTCAGCTTCATCGAAGCTGGCAATTTCCATGCCCAGCTAGCTTGTCTGCCATTTTGTTACCACCTGTGGAGTCTCCTTTAAGCCTGCACTCCAGGCTCTCCCCGGTCTCGTTTTCTTGCCGTACTGCTCTAGGCTAGCCTTTAAGTAGAGCATTATATTTGGTGTGAGTGTCTAGTCTCAGGGTTTAAAAGGAGTGAGTTCAGTTTGTGAAAAGTTCTTGCACCCAGATAAGCCTCTCATATTGAGGCCAGGCCTTTGTGTACAGAGAATTCAGGAGTTGAGGACTTATGGTGTCAGACAGCCCCAATTTTAAAAGATTTTGTAAAAGGCAGCCCTAGGGCATTTTGGGGACCTGGCTTTGAATGGCAGGTGCCCATTTCACAAGTCTATGCTGGAACCCAAAGCCTAACTCAATGCTTCCACTGAGGTAGGCCCTGGGTCAAAAACAGAGGGAGTGTGGGAGATGCCTTGAACAGAGACTCTTCTGAAGAAGGGTTCCCACTGGACAAGGCAGGTCCTTGTTCCAGTAACAGGTTGGGGGCCTGGCACTGCCTCGTCTTTGGCAGGACACTCTGAATACAGAGGGAGGCCCTGGGCCTCTAAGGACTTGGAAAGGACAACTCACCCAGTTGAAAGCCGATCTGAGCCTGGTGGAGAGCAGGTGTGGGGAAAAGGGTATTTTCCCACTGTGTGGCCCCGGGCTGGTGGGGGCAAAACAGCCCCTCGGTGTAGCCTCCAGATGAAACGTTTCTGCACCTCAACAAGCCTCTCCACCAATGCAGCAATCCAAATCAGGCCAAATCAAACTGAATTAGAAAAAGCCCTCGTTTGGTGGGCCCACCGCTACCGATGGCTTCCTAGCTCCCCGAGGGGAGACAGGAAAGGGTGACAGTTTGAATGCCCCGTGGGAGGGGTCATCGTTTGTCAGCTTTCTGAGAGACAGCAGGGTTTGGAGAGAGATAGGAGAGGGGGCTTGGGCGGAACTCCCACCATACAGTTTGTTGTAAACATTTTCTATTATGTTTAGGTACTTTCCATCAGCTCCTAACCTCTGTAAGAATTTCACAATGAAGCTTTTATTTTTCTTTTGGTTTTTCGAGGCAGGATTTCTCTGTGTAGCCTTGGCTCTGTCCCAGAGCTTGCTCTGTAGCCCAGGCTGGCCTTTAACTCACAGAGATCCACCTGTCTCTCACCAGCTCA